ATCGTATAGTAGGATCTTCCTAACTGTGCTGTCTCCTAGGTGGTAGTAGCCCTGGAGCTGTTGCAGGCCTATTTTAGCGAATTTAAAGAGCCGGCGTATGCCCTCTTTGTGCTTGGTTCTGATCTCTGCACCTAGGAGACGTGGAGACATAGGTGGAGTGGTAAAAGGATCCATAATGGTGGAGTTGTTGATAGTTTAGTCCTAATGTGAAGAGTTTTAATTTCGAGGTTCTACAGCCTGAACGCACGGACTTTTGTCCCCATGTTCGTTACCCCCTGCCCGTTGCAAGACTTTCGCAGCCGTGAGCTGTGTCTCACCGCCTTGTGGTTGTGCTGAAAAATCATACGTCATAGGAAGCTGAACGATCGATTGGTGCAAAACATTCTAAAACGTTCTGCCACAAGGCGGTGAGACGCAACTCACGCGATGCACCTGTAATGCCGTGATCCCTATCCGTTGAGCTGCTGAAACCAAAAGTAGCGTGCGCACAGACCATTTTATCACGTGCACCAGGAACATCAAAATCTCAGAGTGTAAATAAATGTGACAGACCAGATCAGGTTGAGATGCAAGAGGTGATCCATTCTTAGAATACTAAGGTGAAGAGCTGAGGACAGCTCTCAGGAGTGCTTATATACAGGATTCTGCCAGGCGGTGAGTTGTCACGTGATAGGACTGAAACCAGCACTGTGATGTAACGGTCTCGCCTGACTGTCGGATTTGTTGGCTGTAGAGTGATACGGGATCAAGGAAGTGCCTTTGGGAAGAGAATGCAATCTCGTTACTAATAGCTTGGTGTTAAGAAACTATATTTGAGTTGAGCACGAAGCTCCTATCTAGTATGGAAATCTCTCCGCTTATATAGAACCTTCGTCCTCCTGGGAGTCCGTCAAATTACGTGGAGTCCCTCTCAGTCGAGGACTCCCGCTAATCTTGAGGACTCCATCACGTGACCACAGGTCCCGTGCACCTGGAACCTTCTTGTTCCGAAGTATCTCCAGTAAGCGATGCTTACTGGGCCTAGTTCGTGTTCTGCTCGTAACATGTGACAATAAACAATTAAAACAATTTTATTTATTATTATAATACTTTTTAAATCGATAAAAA